ATCGCTAAATATAAGGGACAAAACATATTTTTATTGCAATGAGGATGGATATCCCGTTATTTCTGTCGAAAATGGGCATCCAAAGTAGTCTTTAGGCGAAATATTAAAAAGTCGTCTCCTTCTCGAATTCTGTGCCACCCTCCTATAAATAGCTAAGACTGGTATCGATAGATTCCTTGTGCTCTACAGAACTCGGACATGCCTGTCTTAGTTGAAGAAAATGGTGCGTTTGACATCTGTGACGTCACAAAGATGGCGGCCGAGCGTTTTATGTTTTTGTTAATATCTCAAGTTTTAAGGCATCGATTTAAATGTTTGATGATCAGATGTCAAACGCACCATTTTCTTCAACTAAGACAGGCATGTCCGAGTTCTGTAGAGCACAAGGAATCTATCGATACCAGTCTTAGCTATTTATAGGAGGGTGGCACAGAATTCGAGAAGGAGACGACTTTTTAATATTTCGCCTAAAGACTACTTTGGATGCCCATTTTCGACAGAAATAACGGGATATCCATCCTCATTGCAATAAAAATATGTTTTGTCCCTTATATTTAGCGATGTGCCGTGCCCGGGATAATGATGTGCCCGCTCCCGGGCACATTCCCAGTGGGAATATTGCCGGGAACTTTCCCACTGGAAACTATATATGTATGGTATCTAGGTATTTATTTGTATAAATAGGCATAATTTGTTTTTCTTTCCTTATTTTGATGTTTTTACACCCGAGTGCACCCGTATCTTTCTCTCTGTTTACCCTCTGGTTGGCTGGTAGAGAATGCCGCGTGGCATTAGGCCCGCCTTTTGTACTATGTGCAATAAAGTATAAAAATAAATAAACATGTCAACAAATAAAATAAAAAAACAAAAACCCGACTGCGGTAATTACAAAGTTATATTTTGCGATAAAAAACCGCCATGTTGAATTTATGAATTTTTAATACAGCCAGTGTCACTTGCGCTGCTGAGACAAATCTAACGACACCTCATTATGTCAAAATCCAACTATCCGTTTGGGCTGTAGCCCGTGAAAAAGAATTTTCTTGTCCACATACATACATACTTACATACATATATATATATACTCTCGAAAAACATAACCCTCCTTCTGAGGCAGTCGGGTAAAAATAGACCTTATGTCATAGCATTAACATGATTTTGACAGCTGTCAAATATGGCCTATTCGAATGACTGTACTATAGTCAATTGAAACATGGTTTTTTGTCCGGTACCCTGTCTTACCCGCCACCCTGTCTTGCCCGCCAATCCGTCTTGCCCGCCAATCCGTCTTGACCGCCAATCCGTCTTGCCCCGACCTCCCCTACTTGAACGTGGTCCAAAGTAGGTAGGTACAATATTACAAAAAATATACGAAACCAATACGAGACCCTAAAAAAGGAGCACGTAACGTAGGTATGTAAGGCATTTGTGGGGCTGAAGCAACCAGTACGGAGGCGTTTTTGTACCAAATAATATGATGTATTGTGTACATAATTATTATTAGAAAGGTACTTATTCTTACCTTAATTCGTGCATTTTCGCAGTACTCTTCGAATATTTCTTTCGTGGTGGCATTTTTATTTTTTATTCTAAAACACAACGTAACAAACGAGTGAACGTTAACTACTCAACAGAAAGTAAGTACACATATTTACAAGTCTATTTAGTTATCATAACAGGTAGCTAAGCACTAAGCGTCTTTTTTTGCGTAACAATAGTTTTAGAACAGTTTTGTCACTTCGCGTAAACAAAATCACAGACGACACGATCGGTGCGGCGGCGGCGAAGCGCGCGACCTACCCCCACGACGGTCAGCTCGGCACTGAGCGATCTCCGTCGCCCGCGCAGGGCCCCTCGCATGGCGGCTTGTAGATTTTAAGTAAAAATAAAGATCTAACTAAATTTTATGATTACTTTTTTATAAAAAATGCTCAGTTTTAAGAAAAAAGGTAAAGCTACAATTTCGTTCAAAAACTTTTGAAAAATCACTAGTAGTTTATGAGCAGTTACGGTTTTTACGTTGAAAATAGCCCTTAAGTAAAAAATTTTTTTTGTGTAGTATTTGATATTTCTTGATGTTTTCAAATGCCCAGATTTTAAATCATGTACTAAAATATAAGCTAATATTTTTTCTGGAGCTTAATGATCACTCATTTTGGACTTATGGGTCCTCAAAGTTGACTATTTCACGTTACCACTCGCCTTAAGTGGTACAGTATTCGTTATAGTTTTCATGGTAACTTCATAATAAGAACTATATTCCATATTTTTTTCAAATTTTAGCATGCATACTTTAGAAGTTACAGCTGGAACAAATTATGGCTCAAAAACGCCCCTTTTAAAAGCAAATATCTCGAGACAGAAACATTTTAGAGGCGCGGCATACAGACAGACAGACAGACAGACAGACAGACAGGCAGACAGACAGACTTACCGAAATGATAAGGGTTTCTAGTAGACTACGAAACCCTAAAAAATTCCGACCTCCCATACAAAATTCACGATCAGCTGACTGACTTTGTATGGGAGGTCGGAATTTTTTTTTCGTTTCCCACCATTGGCTCCATAGTAAAAGTTGTTCTGTTTGATGGTCTGATCATGCCTGCAAAGTTTTCGGTACACCGTCCTTAACACGCTGTATAGACGCTAGATGGCGCCACTAGGTTTTTAAAACGCGGTAGCGAAATGTTCACGGCGTTTTGCTATAGGTTGCTTCTGTTAGTAAGAAGCAACCTTTACCCTTATGACAAAATATACAAAATATACAAATTTTCAATTTTGGAATACTACTTTCGAATCACCGAATGAATGGTAAGAAGGTAGTAAAATTATACTTCTGGCACTGAGGAAACACACCACTATAGTACCGTCATTCAAATAGGCCACATTTGACAACTGTCAAACTTATACTAGGAAGCACGTCAACAAAGAAGAAGAGACCTTATGTCATGGCATTAACGTAATTTTGACAGCTGTCAAATATAGCCTATTCGAATACCAAATTTTAAAACACTTCTCGTGTTAGGTATAACATTTTTGGAAAACTTGCAACATTTTCCACCGCAGGCAGTAAACCGATAAGAATCACGGTAGCCCAGTTGGTAGTGGCGTCGGCAGTACAGAAAGCGAAGGTCGCTGGTTCAAATTTAGCCTGCGGTGGAAAATTTTACAAGTTTTCCTAAATAGCCGGGAAATCATTTTTCCCTGCCGTAAAATGAAACCGCTGACGGCCCGCTAGTTCCTTATAAAATGGTTACATAATATAGACGCTAGATGGCGCCACTAGGTTTTTAAAACGCGCTAGCGAAATGTTCACGGCGTTTAGCCAAAGGTTAGTAAGTAGCAACCATAACCCTTGTTTTATGGCAAAATAGCAATAAATTAAATTTTTGAATACTACTTTCGAATCACCAAATGAATGGTAAGAAAGTAGTAAATACTTCTGGTATCGAGGAAACACACCACTATATAGTACCGTCATTCAAATAGGTCATATTTGACAACTGTCAAACTCATACTAGGAATCACGTCAACAAAGAAGAAGAGACCTTATGTCATGGCATTAACGTAATTTTGACAGCTGTCAAATATAGCCTATTCGAATACCAAATTTTAAAACACTTCTCGTGTTAGGTATAACATTTTTGGAAAACTTGCAATTTTTTTCCACCGCAGGCAGGATTACGATTAGAACCGCGGTAGCCCAGTTGGTAGAGGCGTCGGCAGTACAGATAGCGAAGGTCGCTGGTTCAAATTTTATCCTGCGGTGGAAAATTTTACAAGTTTTCCAAAATAGTCGGGAAAACATTTTTCCCTGTCGTAAAATGAAACCGCTGACGGGCCGCTAGTTCCTTATAAAATGGTTACATAATATAGACGCTAGATGGCGCCACTAGGTTTTTAAAACGCGCTAGCGAAATGTTCACGGCGTTTAGCTAAAGGTTGCTTCTGTTGGTAATTACCCTTGTTTTATGGCAAAATAGCAATTACTAAAATTAAATTTTTGAATACTACTTTCGAATCGCCGTATGAATGGTAAGAAGGTAGTAAGTACTAAATACTTCTGGTATCGACGAAACACACTGGTGTTAATTAAGTAGCCCATAATTGACAACTGTCAAACTTATACTAGGAAGCACGTCAAAAAAGAAGAAGAGACCTTATGTCATGGCATTAACGTAATTTTGACAGCTGTCAAATATAGCCTATTCGAATACCAAATTTTAAAACACTTCTCGTGTTAGGTATAACATTTTTGGAAAACTTGCAATTTTTTTCCACTGCAGGCAGGATTACGATTAGAACCGCGGTAGCCCAGTTGGTAGAGGCGTCGGCAGTACAGATAGCGAAGGTCGCTGGTTCAAATTTTATCCTGCGGTGGAAAATTTTGCAAGTTTTCCTAAATAGACGTGAAAACATTTTTCTCTGCGGCAAAATAAAATTGCTGCCGGCCGCAAGTTCCATGTAAAATGGTTACATAATATAGACGCTAGATGGCGCCACTAGGTTTTTAAAACGCGCTATCGAAATGTTCACGGCGTTTAGCCAAAGGTTAGTAAGTAGCAACCATAACCCTTGTTTTATGGCAAAATAGCAATAAATTAAATTTTTGAATACTACTTTCGAATCACCAAATGAATGGTAAGAAGGTAGTAAATACTTCTGGTATCGAGGAAACACACCACTATATAGTACCGTCATTCAAATAGGTCATATTTGACAACTGTCAAACTCATACTAGGAATCACGTCAACAAAGAAGAAGAGACCTTATGTCATGGCATTAACGTAATTTTGACAGCTGTCAAATATAGCCTATTCGAATACCAAATTTTAAAACACTTCTCGTGTTAGGTGTTATACCTAACACGAGAAGTGGCTGTTTAATCTATTCATGGATAGTTGTTTGACAGATTTGAAAGAGAGTGAATGTGGACTAAGAATGAACGATTTTTGGAAAACTTGCATTTTTTTTCCACCGCAGGCAGGATTACGATTAGAACCGCGGTAGCCCAGTTGGTAGTGGCGTCGGCAGTACAGATAGCGAAGGTCGCTGGTTCAAATTTAGCCTGCGGTGGAAGTGGTTCTCAAACATGCTAGGAAATATGTTCATTTCTTTCAAAAAAAGAATACGCAAAGTTTCCCATTGAGCAGTAAGAAGCAGTCGTCCTCCTTATGACAAAAACCAAAAATTTCAATTTTTGAATACTACTTTCAAATCACCGAATGAATGTTAAGAAGGTAGTAAAATTAATCCGCTACTTGACTAACAGGTCAAATGAGCTACTTTTTAAGACAACCGAAAACGATATTTCGTATGAAATTATAGAAATATGACGTCATAATTCAATATTTTGGACGGAGTCAAAACAAAATCTTTTATAAAATTTTGTTGTTTATAAATTATAACTTTTATTATTTTAGCAAACGATGAATGAAGTCTATAGTATTTTTGGACACTGTTTTTAAGCATGCATATTTTGTATTTTATTAATGACCCTGTCAAGTAGCGAATTGTGGACTTCTACACAATTAAGGTAATTCTGGCATCGAGGAAACACACCGTTATAGTACCGTCGTTCAAATAGGCCATATTTGACAACTGCCAAACTCATACTAGGAAACACGACAACAAAGAAGAATAGACCTTATGTCATGGCATTAACGTGATTTTGACAGCTGTCAAATATAGTCTATTTACGTCTACGTATGTCTATTTATGTCTACGAATGCCAAATTTTAAAACACTACTCGTGTTAGGTATAAAATATTTGGAAAACTTGCAACATTTTCCACCGCAGGCAGTAAACCGATTAGAACTGCGGTAGCCCAGTTGGTAGTGGCGTCGGCAGTACAGATGGCGAAGGTCGCTGGTTCAAATTCAGCCTGCGGTGGAAGTGGTTCTCAAACATGCTAGGAAATATGTTCATTTCTTTCAAAAAAAGAATACGCAAAGTTTCCCATTGTGTTGTGTGTCATGTCTCCGATCGCGCCAGCAAAGTTGTATGGAATTCCTTTGCTGGTGTCCGGCAAAGTAAATTCGTTACACGCTAAGCCACACAGGTAATTAATTTCAAAATAGATATCTCTATGAATCTCATAAGAACGAATCGTAATTTTGTATGAAAAGTTGATATGAACTAACTAAAGACAAGGCTGCATAATTTTATAAACCTTGCCTATTCTAAATGGACCAATAGAATAAAAAAAGGAATGAACTAAACTTACATATAGAATGGCTGAATAGCAATGAAAACTGTGCCTTGCTAAAGGCCTATTTATTAAAAAATACACATTTGGTGGAAAAACAAACAAAATGGGTGGGAAAACGTGAAAATTTTCATAATTGGGGCTGTTGTTTTGTAGTCTTTTTTGTTTAAAACGGAATAAAGATGAGAGTAGTATTGAAATGGATTGCACGCCGCCAAACATGAGGGGTGCATAAGGGCTGAAGCCAAACTGACCGTGGGATTTTTTTTTTTATAAAGTACTTAGTTTGTTATTTCTTAGCATTTTTTGAGAAAAGCACTATGTAAGCCTCGGGGAAAATGACTTTGCTTGGCTTGTATAATTGAAGTCCTCGCCTACGGCTCGGACTTCAAACTCTACTCGTCCAGCAAAGCCTTGTTTTCCCGGCCTCGACAACAATGAACTAATCCCCGCGGTAAATTGAAACCGCTGACGGCCCGCTAGTTCCTCATAAAATGGTTACATAATATAGACGCTAGATGGCGCCACTAGGCTTTTAAAACGCGCTAGCGAAATGTTCACGGCGTTTAGCTAAAGGTTGTTTCTGTTAGTAGCAAGCATCTTCTTCCTCTACTGTAATGCAGAAAAAAAATCAATTTTTGAATACTACTTTCGAATCACCGATTGAATGGTAAGAAAGTAGCAAATACTTCTGGCATCGAGGAAACACACACACTGCTAATAGTCGTACTGGCTCGAAAGTCAAATGTATGGAATATGCTGCACCTGACAGAAGAGTTCTGAAATTTGGTACACTTAATATTTAGGGTAAAGGAATCGATTTGATCCGCAGTACACAATTTAAAAAAAAAAACCTGCGAGGAGTTATGACGTCATCTTTTTTTTATGGGAAAATAAAACTTTTTGTTTTAAAACCTATTGTGCGTGGTATCAAATGAAAGGTCTTGCTAACCTGATTCCAAAAATATATCACATAATTATATTTATCTACACTCAGTTCGTAATATTCGTTTTACAGAATCGAAAGTACGAACATAATGAACTGCATTACGAATATACAGCCTTTAAAAAAAAACTTTCATACTACTGGCTGCTACATAAAGTAACTCGATTTCTAGTGTTTGAAAAAAAATTAAACGAATTGACCCGCGTACCAAATTGTAATCTGTTCCAATTTGACACTGGCCATCAGTAAGTCGAATGAAAAAAAAAAACAAGTGTCACCCGCGGCGGGACGACACTAGAAATTATGAGAACTTATTTATTATCAAATCTTTGCTTCAAATAATTTTTCGAATTAAAATTCACCGATAAATGCTATTTAATTTTAAAAGTTGTTCAGTTTTTATGAGCCTCCATTTTAAAGTTTAGTTAAAAAGTTACATAAGTACAAAAGTCGTTCAGTTGGTGGTTCAGTAGATAGGCTTGCAATCGCCATAGTGCAGTGCGGAGGTTTGAATTATTTTTCATAGTTTTTCTTGTGGAGTGTAGATAAAATAGTGTATGCAACTGCAAATAATTAGGCTTTAGAATGCTCGTGTCAAACTATTATCACACTCGGCTGCGCCTCGTGTGATAAACAGACACTCTCATCCTAAAGCCTCTCATTATTAGGCAGTTGCATAAACTACTATTAAGTCATTTGTTTCAAATTAAATAGGAAATATTTTCGAAACATGCCAAGTTTGAGCTTCTCCAGATGTGATACGACTGAATCATTCCTTATGAAATATACGTAATATGATGAACAATATATCATTTCCAACCTCAAGAAAAGATACTACGGATTTTCTTTAATTTAGTTTTTTTGTATGTTTTTCATGTATGTATGTATGTATGTATGTGGACAAGAAATTTCTTTTTCACGGGCTACAGCCCAAACGGATAGTTGGATTTTGACATATGAGGTGTCGTTAGATTCGTCTCAGCAGCGCGAGTGACACTGGCTATATAAAAAAATTATAGATTCAAGATGGCGGATTTTTACAGCAAAATACTACTTTAAAATTACCGCAGTCGGGTTTTTTGTTTCTTAACACATCTACTTGTTGCGAATGTCACTTGTTACATAACCAGGGTTGCTACTGTCATAAATCTCAAAGTTGACCTTTACAGCCACAACAGTCCACTGCTGGACATGGGCCTTCCCCGTATTGGGGGGTATTGCCATACTCACCACGCTTGGCAGGCGGATTGGCGAGCGCAGTGCCAAGATGTTACATTTACAGGGAACGCTGCTGCCCATTCCCTTGATGAATATCCCTTAGTCGCTTTTTACGACACCCACGGGAAGAATTGGGGTGATGCTATTCTAAGCCGGCATCACACGGAATGTATGTATGTAGACAAAAAATTCTTTTTCACAGGCTACAGCCCAAACGGATAGATGGATTTTGACAATTGAGGTGTCGTTAGATTCGTCTCAGCAGCGCGACTGGCTATACCGGGAGTAACGGAAAGGGTATGACAACCCGAAAGGAGGTCAAGGTACTCATGAAACTGAACAACTTTCCCCATGGAACATGGGTCGAAATATGAAAAAAAATTGGACCTCCCATAGTAAATCAATTAGCTGATCGGCGATTTTGTATAGGTAGTCAAATTTTTTTTTTCATATTTCGACCCATATGTTCCATGGGGAAAGTTGTTCAGTTTATGAGTACCTTAACCTCCTATCGGCTTGTTATACCCTTTCTGTTACTCCCTGTATAAAAAAAATATAGATTCAAGATGGCGAATTTTTACAGCAAAATACTACTTCAAAATTACTGCAGTCGGGTTTTTTGTTTTTGAACACATCTACTTGTCATTCAATCTGCCACTTTGGTATTTTCCTGTGTAATAAATTTTACAATATATATTTTGATATGCTTCAACTTTTGCCGTGTGATGCCGGTTTAGAATAGCATCACCCCAATTCTACCCGTGGGTGTCGTAAAAAGCGACTAAGGGATAATTATCCAGGGAATAGACAGCAGCGTTCCCTGTGAATTAAATATCTTGCACTGCGCTCGCCAATCCGCCTGCCAAGCGTGGTGAGTATGGCAATACCCCCCGATAGGGGGAGGCCCATGTCCAGCAGTGGACTGTTGTGGCTGTTATGGTTATACATACATTCATACATACTCTCGAAAAACATAACCCTCCTTCTGAGGCAGTCGGGTAAAAAGAAAGTTTGACGGCTGTCATCTGAAGTATAGATTCTATCAATACCAAAAACTTGTACCAAAATATAGGTACCCTAGCTAGCATACATACTTTTTAGGGTTTTGTAGTCTACTAGAAACCCTTATCATTTCGTCAAGTCTGTCTCTCCGACTGTCTATCTATATGCCGCGCTATCCTAAGGTCGCAGGTTCAAATCCTGCCTGCGGTGGCAAATTTTGCAAGTTTTCCGAAACTGTATACCTAACACGACAAGTGTTTTAAAATTTGGTATTCAATGATAGTGTCACATTATTTAGTGTCACAATTATTTCAGTGACATTAAATAATATAAAAGTAAACACAAATGTTACAAATTATTTTAGTGTCTTAATATGACCGCGTTACATTTGTTTAGTTGCACAATATGAAACTTGTTACAAAAATTGGAATTAGAGAAGTGTCATTCATGATTTCACAAAATGACTATCGTATCTTACTAATACAAATGAAATACTGATCCGATGGCGTAGCGGATAGTACCCCTGCCTTCTACGCCGAGGGTCGTGGGTTCAATTCCCACCAGATACAAATATTTGTAAAGTAAATTTTCAAAAGTCTGGGAGATTTCTATGTATGATATGTATTTATTTAAAAAAAGGATATAAGTACTATATCAGTTGTCTAGTTTTCATAGTACAAGCTTTGCTTAGTTTGGGGCTA